ATGGAAGCTGGCTATTTGCCAGACTCTCCATTCTAATACTATCGAGGGCGCTATAACACACATACATGCTATCAAACTCATTCAATTCAGTCTTCATATTAATTTGGATCCTGTTTTTATAAAGTGAATGTACATACAGATATTGTGTGTTATATACAAGATGGAGAGTAAAAGCTATATAGAAAGTCTCATATGTGTAGATTTAGAGGGTTTGAATCACTACCTGGTGTGCTATGTATATTCAACTGACAGCATCAGGTTACTCTTCTCAGCGTGAAAGAACTTTTGTTATTAAGCACCTTTTTTGGCTGATGTCCAGTGGCTGAATAGCCGTGCCATGCCGTGTTGTGCAGTGCCGTGCGATTTGGTGACATGGTCACTACTTCAGTATGCAGTCCTTTCTACATAGCATTTACTTTCCCATACATTATTTCTTTGATTTACTTCATTTGCTATCAATCAAACATTTTGAATTTATTTATTTTAGCTGGTAGTGCTACTGTTGATAGAAGCTTTGATTTTGATATGACTGTAATAGTGGTTTATTTACATAGTATTATTATTTTGTTTTCAGGCCAATGATGAATTACAGAGGTTTCGACGTGAAGTAATGAAATCTCCCAAATCACCACGCGCTTCTTTAGCAGCACAGTCTATTCTTAGAAGAATAGAACATGAAAGAGATGAAACATTGGCAGATTTGAGACGTATGACTACAGAGAGAGATTCTCTAAGGGAAAGACTTAAGGTATAGTCATTACAGATGTATATACAGCTTCAAGGTTGGGTACAGCTAACACACTTTTTGACTTGAGAATTTCCTGAAAATTTGCTCAACTCTTTCCTGTGTTTCGCATTTCAAAAGTCTTAATAAAAACCTGGCGTTACTTATTAATAATTAGTTTTGATTTATGAATGTCAATTTCATGCATTTGTGACCAATTTTCAATCAAAATGGCTGCAGGAATTTGACTTCACGCTATAAGGAAATTACAATGTCAGTGTTTCTATTCAAACACCCCACTTTTTATTTGCTTGTTTATTAGCATTTTTATTTGTTATTTATTTGGAACTTTTCATGTCATTAAAATATTGTTAACATATTTACTAGTTCGCTGTATTTATCCTTCAAGAATAAATATCTTAACATTAAATTGTATTCATAGATTTTATCATTACTTTGTATGTCATTGCACAGTTTACAATTTGCATATTTGTTATTTAATGAATAATAAACACTTCTTGTTTTAATGTGATTAAATTGTAGTAACTGATTGTTTCTCATCTCTAGATTGCGACTGAAACACAGCTGCGTGACCGAGCCAGAATTGAACAAAGACTGGAAGACTTGGAAAATGCAGTACGCAATGTGAGTTGAACATATCATTCATAATTATTCATACCGGTATACACTAGACTATGCTAGTTGGTGTACCATATAATGTAATGTACAAACGTTTAGTTATCAATTAGACTGTATTCATTGCAAAGCCACTGAGTCATGACATGCCACTGTGGCACAACGATTTGCTGTGATGCAGCAGGTTTTGCTAATTCACTGGCAGGTCATTGACACACCAGGAAATCGTGCATTGATTTGTAAAGACACTCCACACAGTAAACAAGTAAAAGGCAAAGACAAGTTTATTGAGCAAAAATGACTTGCATACACAAACTACAAAACTAATAAAATTACAATATAAAAATATACAGTTCATAAAAACTACAAAATTGGGCAGGGGGGCCCACTTCTACCCACCAAGACAGCACATGCCCCCCTGAGCAATGGATTTCGAGATCCAAAAGAAGGAGGGGGAAAACTTGTATGAGGCCGCCCGACCTTGAAATGAGGGTTAGGATGAAATCCAATGCCCAAACGAGAGACACGAGCTGCTAGTGGAGCGAAGTGACCCCCATACAATAAAGAGACCTGAAAGAAAAAGAAAAAAGTTAGTAGGTTGACTCAAACTAGAACAGACCAGGGAGTGGTGCAGAGGGAACTGACGTTCACGGTCTGCGTGGTCTGCTCAAGAATAAGGTAACTAAACTGAACTTCTCACGGCCCAGGGGACATGAACTGAGCGGCACAGGAGGAGGTAGTAACCTCACGGCCTGTGGGACAGCTATGTGCGGCCTGGGGGAGAGGGACATGGGTGACATGGAACTGCACAACACAGGGGGAGGGAAGTGCCTCGGGCCTGTTAGGACAGCCATGTGTGGCCAGTGATGCAGGTGGTAATTGTCCGAACGCGGTTTATGGAGATGCTAGGACGATAAAGGTTGATAAAGCTGTTGAGGTGCGTGGATGTAGGTCCGGTAGCAGTCACTGGTCCATCTTCCTAAGGTTTTGATAAGATGGTCTGGAATATGACGCGTTGCAGCAGTTGTAGCAGCTCCAATATGGAATGAATGACCGGCATAAATAAGTGGGTCATGACCCAGCCGCGTTAGCAAGAGACGTAGTGCGTTGATGAAAAATTCCCTGTGGAGTGGGATTCCTTCTGGTAGAGCCAGTAGTGGGTCATTAGGTAGTGCGTTCATTTGGTAGCAAACAGACAGGAGATGACACATTGTGGTGACCGGACAAACCACGTTGCCTGTTGGAAATAATTGCAGGTGGAAACCCTGACGGAACTGGTCTGTCTTTGATGTACACTGTTACAGACTTTGTTGCGTCTTTGTTATTGATGATGACATCCTTTATGCAGAGATGAATTTTGGGGTTGAACATATTCACTGGGGCAGTAAACTCGCTGCAGCGCTAGAAGCCAAAAAAGGCAAGGGTGAACGATGATCGCAAAAGTAAATCAGTGTAGCTGCCATATACACCGCTTTGCAGAAGCACACACAATTGCTTAAGGATGTCCACGGTTATGGGCAAACGCGAGCGAGATGGAGAACCCTGTATCCGGTGAATCCCTCTCAACACATGGGATAGACGAGTGAACTCCAAGCCCTCGGATGTGAGCCCTCATGGGGTTTCCATAGCCTCCCTGAATGTAGTGGTTCCAAATTGAAGCGAAGTAGACTTTAATTGTAGAAAGTTTTAAATGCAGACTGGATGCACAGTGAGCTGCAAAGTAAATTACAGTGTCCTCTGAAATATCTGGATAGGATGCTGCAGCACCAGGTAACTCGAAGAGGGTGGCGAAGCGAAGCCATGCACGCACTCCTGTTGCATAGGACTGGTGTGTCCTCGTGCTGAGGGCGGCATCCTGGAAGTGCGAAATAGCATCATTTAGCCGAACTTTATTTTGCAAGGTATTGGGCACGGCTGTTCTTGTGCGAGTGGGGCTGCTTCCTGGAAACGACGAACCTGTAAACGTGATAGAGAATCAGCAATAATGTTAATGGACCCAGGTATATGTTCTGCCTGGAAAGTGAAGCTATCGTGGCTGCTAGAATGAGTTTCATTATAGCTGGTGACTTTGAACGCCCCTTGTTAATAATGTTCACCACTGCCAGATTGTTACAATGAAATAACACACGCTTACGGCACCAGTGTTTTCCCCAAAGGATGCAAGCAAAAACAATAGGGTATAATTCCTGGAAGGCAATAGACAGTGTTGGGTCATTCTCCAGAAGAAGCTCATTGGACCAGGGGGCTTGAAACCATGATTTGATAAAGTCTCAAATCTGAGAAATTGTTCTGGTAATGTTTAAACATAATTGCAAAGTTTGAATGCAACTTTAACATTCAATTTATTTTCCCATGTAGACTGAACAAGAGAGAAGTGAGCTGCAGTCTAGAGTAACCAGTATGAGAGAAATGATTGCCACATTGGAAGATCAAATTAAGAGTCAGCAATTGAAGATATCAGAGGCCAACGAGGACTGTGCACAACATAGAGCTACAGCAACTCAGATGAGATTACTAGCAGAACAAGCTGAGAGATCATTAGAAGATCACCAAAGGAGACTAAACAAAAAATCAGGGGAACTACAAGCTTCTCAGGAATTGTCAGACAGGTTAGAGAAGAAATTAGGTAAGTGAATCTTGTCAATACCATATATCTTGTGATGTCGGATAAGTAGAAAT